CAATAATTTGTAAAATTTGCATTGGCTTAAAATTAACATAATCAAAGTCAGGTCGTGGAGTACATATTGAACAAATGAAAGAATGAATGAACGAACGAACGAATGAAAAAACAAACAAACGAAGGAATGAATAAATGAATGGATGAATGAATGAACGAATGAACGGATGTGCAAACAAAAAATTAATAATCAAATATAGTAAAAACTAACGAATAAATCAAGAAACTAATGAAAAAAGAATAACAAATAAAAAACTAATTAATACACTAATCAATAAACAGACAAAAGAACTCAATAAACAAATGGATGAAAAAACCAACGAACGTGTAAACCAAAATAAACAAACGAACAAACGAACACAATAAACAAATTAATTTTACATTTGCAAATAAAAGAATCCGCATGAATAATTAAACTTTAATTAAATAAATCACCAAATAAAGCTTAACAAAATGGTAGTAAATGAATATTTCAGATGAATTGAAATATACATCTGAATGACTAATAAAAAAGATTATCAACTTATTAACTAGAAAAATTCGGTCATACGAAATATGATGTGAATTTAGAATTCAAATACTGGTATCGCTCTCACATACTACTACTGCTGCTAATGCTGCTACTGCTGATACGACCGCTACAACTACTACTACAACTACTACTGCTACTACTACGAATAATATTAATTATTATAATAAAAAGCAAGGAAAAATATAATTATAAATACAAAAATTGATAATGATAATGACGATGATGATGATAATGATAGAATAGAAGAAGGAAAAAATTTAAAAATGAGTGAATTATTGAGTTAAACATGCAACCTATTCAGTGCCCAAACTTTATCATCGTTATCCTCATCCCCATCATCATTATCATCAACACGATCATCGTTATCATGAACAACAACTTCATCATTCGCATCATTATATTCATTATCATCAAGCCCATCATCATTATCATCGATATCATCATTATCATTGTATCGAGCCAGTCCATCTTCATCACCACCAACGACTACATATTTTTTCATTATCACCATCATTATTGCAACGTCATCATCACCACCGTCTTTGCAACATCATCATCACCTTCGTTTTTGAAGCATCATCATCATCGCCGTCATCATCTGAGTGTGACGTGATGTGATGTATAGTTTGAGTGAAATCAACTAAAAGGCAAATGATAATCTTTTGACTCTTACACTCTCATCTCGTCAGCAGCATCTTCATCATTCCTATCATCACTGCCATTATTGCGTGTAATACACACTCACACGCGCACACACACGCGCACCACACGCACACACTCTCTCTCTCACACACACACACACATTTACTTTCACATGTGCTTTAGTTTCGTGTTACTAGTGAATTGAAGCGATCTAACTCTATTTATTATCGTTTATTTATTTGTTTATGCATTTTTTGTACGTTTAAATACATGTTTGTGTGTTTACGAGTGTGTGCGTGTGAGTATGTATGCGAGTGTGTATGTGTGTTTACACTTGTCTTTAATTCACAGACAAACATTTCAAGAACGTGTGGTTCCGATAATTTTCATCCAGTCTAGACGAATTTAGACTAAACAAAAATCCGATCAAATTTTTTGGCTTACGCGAACGAAATAAATCATAGATTTGATTACTCCGCTAATAAGTCTAACCAGCACTACAGAACCACAAAGAGATCGACTAGCATGGATGAAGTAGACCTCCTCTTTAAAAACATTGTTATCACTGCTACTGCTTCTACTGCTACTACTACTTATGCAGCCACTACTGCTAATACTACTGCTACTATAAATACTGTTATTATTATTACTATGAAGATATTATTACTTTTATTACTGCTAGTAAGATTTAAAATTAATTTTTGTAAAAATTTTCAGCTCTCTATTTGATAATTTAAACAAAGCTAGAAAATTCAATAATCAGCCCAATTCTAGTAACATTTGTAGTACTACTACATTTACTTTTATTTTTGATAAGAAATTATTAAAAACTTATTTTTTCAGCAATTATAATGATTCACTCACGCTAAATAAGTGCTGTAGATTAGCAAGCAATTACTTAAACTACGAACCAGCTAACACAACAAAAATGTGATGTGCTATTTCGTTTTGTTATATCTAGCCCGGCACGGCATTCTAGTTAAAATGAACATTATATACTTATAATAGTAGTAGTGGTTGTTGTTGTTGATAGTATGATTGTTGTTGCGTCCGTCTGCTGATATGCAAGCACTTGACAAGAACAACAACAACGATGATAGTGAGATAGATTGGTTGATTGGTTGGATGGATGGATGGCTGGTTGATTGGTAGGTTGGTTGAATGGTTGGTTGATTGGTTGGTTGATTAGTTAGTTGGTTGGTTGGTTGTTTTGGTTTATTGGTTGGTTGATTGGTTGGTTGGTTGGGTTTATTGGGTTAACACAACTTAACAACAACTCGACCACAGTTCAGCTACTACAATATTCACAAGCTACGACAAACAAATTTAACGGAAATTAACAACATTACAACAACTCATTTCATAAATATAGCAAAAACAACACCGAAAATAATTACAATAAATATAATTGCGTCAATAAATAGCGAGAATAAACCAAACTACATTAAACAATAATTTAAGATATAGAAAGAAGATGATGATGAGGACGATGAATGGTTCTAAATTATATCGCAATAACTATAAACAGTATATAGAGCTAATAAACGTTCACATATTAAACAATGCCCATCTCTGTATGTTTATGAATGTGTGTATGTATGTTTGTTTGTTTGTATGTATGTAAATATGCGTGCGTTTGTGTATAAGTATGTTTCTGTGCGTATTTTTTATGTTTATTTATAGAGTAGCGTATATGATATGACAGACGTATATGTGTGAGTTTTTGTATATGTGTGTCTATGTATGTTTTTGTTTATACCTATATCTGTGTGTATTTATACCAAGTATATGTATGCGTGAGGTATTGAATGTGTGAGATAAAGTAGTACGTTGTAATTAATAATGTGAACATTGTACATTAATTCATCTAATTTATTGTTGACACTCAAATTCATTAATTTGGGTCACGTTTGTTCGTTTAATTGTTTGTTTGTTTTTCTGTTTATGCATTCATTCATTAATTCATTCGTTCGTTCGTTTTTTCGTTCGTTCGTTCGCTCGTTTGTTCAATTGTTTGTTTACTCTTTCTTTCAATCATTCATTTGTCAGTTACTTATTTTAAAAAGTGGTTAGGTTAATTTGATTTAGCGCATCCTTTTAGACTTTTTTCAAACCATAATTTTATTAAATACAAATCAGTCAAATTTTTTGTAATTAATTAAATATATATTTAATTAACTAATTAACCAAATAATTTACTCAATTTTTTCGTCATGTCAACCAGTTAATCATTCAATCCTTTATTTAGTTATTTACTCATTTATTCATTCATTCACTCATATGTTTATTTATTTTTTTTCCATTCATTCATTCACTCGTTCGTTCATCCGTTCGTTATTTCGTTTGTTCGTTCATTCATATATTTAGTTATTAAGACATTTGTTCGTTAATTTATTTGGTTATTGAATCATTGATTGATTGATTAATTCGTTGATTGATTCGTTCTTTCATTATTTATTCATTCATTTACTCATCTGTTCATTCATTCATTCACACTTTAATTTATCTATGCGATCATTCACTCATTCCTGTATTCATTCACTTCACACATAACAGCACACTTACAAACATGTAAACATTTTAAAGTTCATCAAGTGCTTTTAACGCTAATAACAATAATAATAGTAATAGTAGTAGCAGTAATAACAACAACAATAATAATAATAACAACAACAACAAAGTAACAACGATAGCAATAACAACATTAACAACAACAACAGTAATAACGTTGAAAACAAAAAACACGTAGAAAAAATCATCTTAGCTGTATTATTAATACACAATCATCTGGCGAACGTTTATGTTGTTTGTAGGAAGACCAATTTCAAACGCATAAGTTATATTAAAGTCTGTAGTATAATAAATTAATAAATAATAATAATAATTTATATTATTATTACTATTATATAGTGAATATATATACCAACAATTACTTTAGTAAATCATACCTATCTACATATATGCGATAAATATTAATAATAATCCATTATTATTCCATTGTCCTCAATACCATCATCATCATCATCGTCGTCGTTAGAATCATCATCATCATCATACTTATCATCACACTCTTCTTCATCATCATTTTCGTCATCGTCATAGTCCTCGTCATTATCATCATCATCGTCGTCATCGTCATCATCATCATAAAAGAACTGCGAGATAAATCTTAAATTGATGGATCCGCATAAAGTCAAATGAACAATTCTGATAATGTAACAATGATGAACTTCAAATAATTCGTCATCATTATCAACATCGTCATCATTTACTGTCACCATCACCATAATCAGCAGCCTCGTCAATGGCTTTATCATCATTACCATCATTATTTTCATCATTATCAACATCGTTTTTATGATGATGATCATCCTCATCATTTTCTTTTTCTTCATTTTCTTCTTCTTCTTTGTCCGATTGTTCAACCGTCTGTATTTTTATCATCACTATCTTCATCACAAATTACATTGCATCAACAACAACACATTAATAACATTAACAACAACAACAAAATCAACAACAACATCATTATCACCAACAACATTTGCAGCCACTTCAACAACCAAAACAATATCAACATCAACAACATATTGATAACACTAACAACAACATCAACAACAGCAACAGCAACATCAACATTAACAACAACAACATCAACAACTACATTAACAACAACAACATCAGCAGCAGCAACAACAACAATAACATCAGCAGCAGCAACAACAACAACAACAACAACAACATCAACATCACCAAAAATAGGCAACACGGAATCGACATGGTGTGCGCTTTAATTATTGCAGTACTTTTAAGTACGAATAAATGCTTTAACTGTTATTGATGTTGTTGTTGTAGTTGTTGGTGCTGTTGCTAATGATGTTTTTGTTGATGTTGTTTTTGTTGCTGTTGTTGTTGATGTAGTTGTTGTTGATGCTGTTGTTGGTAATGATATTGTTGAATAAACATTTTTAAACTGTAAATAAATAATTGTGCTATCTACGTTGAGTCGTTGCTCGGTGATGGTATCAAAGACGCACACAAACACACACACAAACACACACAAAAACACACACACACACCACATACACACAAACACACACAAACTCACACATACCACACACACATAACAGCGCATGGAAGAACACGTTAATCCTTGCATTTTTCTGCGATCGAACCAAGTCTCAGCCACAAAAAGACCAGACACTTTAACTACTACACCACGCTTGACGTATAATAATAATAATAATGATAATTTTCACACTTTAATGATATTAATAGAAAAACAAAGAGCTAATTACGGGAGTTTAAACAAAAATACGACAAATGATCAAAAAAGAGAAATAAAAATTTGACTGGTTGAATTAGAGAATATGAAAAAAACTGCGAATAAATAAAGGAATGAATGAACAAATAAAAAATAGAAAAATTATTAACTGAATAAATAGACAAATTAATAAAAAAAATGAATGAATGAGTGACTGATTGAGTGATTGATGAACAAATCGTAACCCCAAGACTCAAACGAGTTCCTCCCCTCCACTCTACCACCACACAAAATATCCCACCCCAATATGAGAAAAAAAAAGTTGCACCCAGTCAATTAGCATATCATTGTATGATACATGGGCAGGTGTTATCGTCGAAACATACAAAAAATGGTACACACACGCGCACGCACACACGCAAGAACACGCAAACAAACATATACTCTACTCATACTCTACATATACATGCATACATACATCCATACATACATACATCCATACATACCTACATCCACCGGTTTTTTCGGTGCCGCGATATTCTTCCCCCAGTGTCCGCCCCGGGGGACCGTACGCACGTCCAAATTTTGAACGAAGAATCTAAAAAAATCTTTAAAAATTTGTTGTCTTCATGCGGCGACGACTTTTCCACCGCTCGTTTGTTGGCCATGTCCAGCGTTGCCAGCTGTGGGTGGTTGAGATCGTGGCCCAACACCTCTGTGGGCACCAGGCTTGACGACGAGTCTGTGAGATTTGCCATTGGCTTCAGACTTGGCCTGGTCATTCAGAATAAATACACGTGCCGATGTAGCGCAGGGGCGGACGAGTTTGGGTACCACGGTTTGGTTTGTCGCCTGGGTGGGGGCCGTCAACTACGTCACTCAGCGCTAAACAAATACATTTGTCGGCTCTTCCCCAAGGCTTCAATCCCGGTTCTCAAGGAACCATCCGGCATTTCTGCGCATGATGGTAGGCGCCCGGACGGATGCACACTAATACCTTGGAGAGCCGACGGATGTTTGGCGTGGGATGTTACGGTCCCTGGCACCCTCGCCGAACGATACGTAAACCTGACAAGTAAAGAATGCGGTTTGGCCGCGGCCAGGGCAGCGGACGAGAAAATGAAAAAATATGGGAACGCCCTCCCCTCGATGGAATTCTTGCCAATATGTATCGAGGTTCTCGGCCCGATGGACCCCAACACCCTTAAATTTCTTAAGGCAATATGCAAAATGATTAGCGTCAGATCAGGCGACAGCAGGGAACTGTTTTTCGCAACTAACCACATTTCGTGCTTGTTGCAGCGGTTCCTGCGTGTCTGTGTGCTTGAAACTGAATATCCAACTGAATGCCGACATGTGCAATTAACGACAAATCAAAGTGTTAATCCATTTGTTACTTGATGTTTGACGGTTCAGTGTCACTCATCATGTTTTGGTTTTAACATACATACATACATACATACATACATACATACATACATACATACATACATACATACATACATACATACATACATACATACATACATACATACATACATACATACATACATACATACATGCACACATACATACTTACATACATATATACAACACATTCGAAGATGTCATATCCTGTATAAGCCACAGCGAAATAATTAAATATTAAAATGTGACATAACAAAAAATAAATAAACTAAAGCGCAAAAGATTTCACACACATGCATACACACACCAACATAAATACATACACGCATATGAAAACATTTACAAACACATAACACATACAGAGACAGACACATATGTAAACATACATATACACCATTCTCACCACACATGCATACAGTACACAACACGTTTCTACACAACACACACACACACACACACATCCACACACATACACACACATCACACACACACATAACAGTGCCGTTGTTATAATCTATGTTTGCTATGGGCTCAATAGCTATTCACTGAGTTTTCA